TTAAGGCACTGGACTCTCACATGGCTGGCCACGGTTTGAGTCCCGGACCTGGTGGCTGACTTTCTCACTTTCCCTGTCTTTCTCTGGTGAGTATATATGCTCTATAGCAAAATCTAAACAAAAGGAGGTTTGGTAGCTTGAAAATCATGCTAGGCATGTGTGTATGCATGCCCAAAATCCCAAGAGAAGAGACTGCAGTGTGGCCCCCTGGGGAGTGATTTCTTACTTTCCCTCTCTGTCTCTCTCCAGCAAGTACATGCATCCTATATCGAAAATGCAAATAAATAAATAAATGAAAGTCATTTCAAGACAGGAGAAACTTGAATACAAACTAGGTAACAGATGAAAGCAAGGATATTTTGTTTTACAATATTTATTATTTTTCTAGCTGCTGGGTCTGGGACTTGAACCATGGAGTCAACCATGTGAGATCCAGTACCTATACCATCACACAGCCTGCTGGCCTACCTGGTATGTTTTTCAAGCTGCAATTTTTAGGACTTGAACTGCTTAGCCATCCATCTTAGATCCGGTTCACATAACCACCAGGCCATGGGCTTGCATAGTGTGGCATCTTTTTTATGTCTTTTTGGATTAGGTTTACTAGTGTTGTATTGAGGTTTTCTTTTATTTATATATGTACTTTGGGAATGTTGGTCTATAGTTGTTTTTGTTTGCTTGTTTCTTTTTATTGTGTTCTTGTCTGGTTTTAGTATAAGGATAATGTTAGCCTCAAAGAATGATTTTTGAGAGAATTGATTCCCCTACAACTTTTTGGAAATTTTTGAGAATTTATTTTGTTGTTTAGTTTTGGTTTTTTGTTTTGTTTTGTTTTGTTTTGTTTTTTATTTTTTTTATTTTTTTTGCCATAGGATGCATATACTTGCCAAAAAGAGACAGAGAGAAGGGAAGTAAGAGATTACCACCTGGGAGAATAACCACACTAGATTTTGGGCACGTGCGCTTGGCATGGTTTTTTAAGCCACCGATTTTGGGACGTGAACCATGGTCAGCCATGTTGGAGTCCAGTGCCTTAACCATCATGCCATCTGCTGGTCCCAAGAAGAATTGGTTTTAAATGCTCATTAAATGGCAGAATTGAACAGTGAAGTTATTTGGTCCTGGACTTTTGCTTTTAATAGAACTTTCATTATGGATTCAATCTCAAAAAAAAAAACAAAAAACAGGAAAAGAAAAAGAAAGTAAAAACAATGTTTTTGTTCAATGTGACGAAGTATTACCATGTGAGAAGTGCGTTACTCTTAGACGAGCGCAGGTGTGGACTGACATGATTAGGGAATCGGTTTGAAAGAACTCAGGAGGACAAAGGGCAGGAGGCTGCGATTGCTGGAGGAAGGTGTAGGGAGG